GGAGGGACAGCCCCCAGGGCCCGTGGGTATCGTCAAGGCAACAGATAATGACACAGGGATCAATGGAGTCATTCAGTATGAGCTAAGAAGTGCAGTACCTCCAAACTCTAACTTCAGTGTTGATCAGAATGGGACGGTATACTCCCTCGCTACAGGACTAGATGCTGAAGCTGTCTCCATGAATTACATGTTAACGATTGGTGCCTTTAATCCAGGGGTACCCAATCAAGAAGGTATCATTCATGTATTCATAGCAATAGAAGATATTAATGACAACAGACCAGTCTTCACTCAATCAGTGTATAATATATTACTGAATGAGACACAGCTAGTACCTCATTTAGCCCTAGAACTCACTGCTAATGATCCAGACAGGAATGATCAGGGTAGACTAGTATACGCCATCTTGTCTGGTAATACTGAAGCAACTTTCCAATTGAGGAACAACGCTGGTAAAGGTGAACTGTATCTAAGACGTAGCCTTGACTATGAGAGGTACACCCAGTACAGTCTCTCAGTACAGGTTAGTGATGGTATATACACTGACACTGCTACTGTTAGTGTGCTAGTGATTAATGTTGATGATGAACCTCCTATCTTCAGTCAATCACTGTACACTGCTAGTGTAGTGGAGAACTCACCCGTCGGTACTGTAGTGTTAACTGTTAACGCAACTGATCTTGATTCTAACATGATTCAATACGAGTTGAAAGGTCTAGCAGAAGGACGGTTCTCCATTGATAATAACGGAGTGATCAGGATCAGTGGAGGGATAGACCGAGAGGAATTCCTACCAAGTGAAGAGATAGTGTTCCTAGTTTTTGCTTATGGAGGGTCCCTATCAACAGCTGATATCAGTATTCATATTGATGATATTAACGACTACTACCCTCAGTTCCTCTTCGCCCCTTTCTATGGTACAGCCCCTGAGAACACACCCCCTGGACCCCAAGGACTGTACATCACTACAGTAAGAGCAGTTGATCTTGATAAAGAAGAGAATGGGACACTGACCTATTCACTAGTGACCGGGGAACAGGATGGGTTCAGTATTGACCCAGTGACCGGGGTCATTATCGCTAACAGGACCTTCGACCGGGAGACAACCAGGTTCTTTCAACTGGTAACCATGGCAACTGATAACGGAGGTGCGATACAACTATCATCAACAGTAGAAGTGATAGTAGAGATCAGTGACCATAATGACAACCAGCCCTCATGGGTATACCCGTACATGTATGCTAGGGTCTATGAGAATGAAGCATTAGGCCATGTAGTGATACAACTACCAGCCACTGATCCTGATAATGGAGTCAATGCTACCGTATTCTTTACACTCATCAGTGGGAATGATGATAATAAGTTTAATCTTACAGCTAGTACAGGTGAGGTAAGGGTAGCAGGGTCTTTAGACTATGAGAACCTGGCAGAGAGAAGGTACCTCCTGTACTTCAGTATAATGGATGGAGGGACTCCTCCTTTGAGCAGTCCTAATGTGGGGGAACTGGAGATACATGTGCTTGATGATAACGACCATTCTCCATTGTTTGATACTCATTATTCTAGCATCGTACTACCTGAGGATACTCCAATTAATGCCCACCTCATAACCCTTACTGCTACTGATACTGATCAAGGTACTAACAGTTTATTGAGTTACGGGATCAGTGACGGTGATTTGAATCATGATTTTGATCTGATATCTCACTCAAACGGCTCAGTAACACTGATACTAGCTAGAGTCCTTGATTTCGAAGCAACATCAAACTACACACTATCACTAACAGTAACAGACCATGGCTACCCTCCACTAACAGACAGAGCTATCATTAACATCACACTAACTGATGTGAATGATGAACCGCCATTATTCAGTAGTGATCATTTCACTGGCTCTATAGAAGAGAATATGAATACCCTACCAGTGTCACTGCTGTACACTGGAGCTACTGACCCTGACTCTGATGAAATACCTGGTGGACTGATTGATAGGTACGAGCTGGTATGGAGTGATGATACTAATAATAATTTCAATTACAACAATGGCTGGCTGACTGTAGTACAGTCCCTGGACAGAGAGACCAAAGCCCAGTATCACTTTATAGTACAAGCCATTGATAACGACCCTATCTCTCCTCTTAGTAGTACAGCAACCATTACTGTCACTGTGTTGGACGTGAACGATCACCCATCTCAAAATGGAGGACAGTTACAGGTTCTAATAAGAGCACAGGATGTCCGTTTCCCTGCCCAAAAGCTAGGACTAGTCTATTTCATTGATTCTGATGATAATGACACTTTCACTGCCTGCAGTATAGTATCAGGTGACAATCACCTGTTCAACATTCACTCCAGCAACTGCTCCCTCTACTCTACAGTGTCTGATTTCCCTGCTGGAGTATCTTATGGGATTGAGGTACGTGGTCATGATGGGGTTCATGAGTTCGTAATGACGACAGTTTCAATAATAATGCATAACATTAGTGTAGTCCCTCCAGTGAGCTCACTGGTCAGTATCACTCTGAATGTATCAGGGGATCAATATCTGGATCAATTCAGATCAAGTATTGTGAGCGTGATCAGTGATACAGTATCAGTACAATCAACATCATTGAATATACTAACAGTACAACAGGGTCACCATGATCCAGTTAATACTGTTGATCTATTATTTGCTGTAATGAACAGCAATGGTGTCTTCATGGATCCAACATACATCATTAATAAACTCTACCTGGAGAGGTCCAGTATCTACTCTAATCTCTTATATTCTCTTCCAGTGGATGCCTGTATTAATG